CACCGCCCCCGCCGCTGGCGAGACGGCTGTCGCTCTCGGAGAGTTCGCGTTTGTAGCCCCCAAGCAACCCACAAGCAGAGGGAGTATTAACAATATCAGTTATACTTCTCTCAATGGATCTGTAGCCTGATTTGCAGCTGGTGTGACGTCCGCACATCATCCCTCGTATAAACTTCACAGTATCCCTCAACGAATAGAAAAGTACCCTCCCCCTCCCATTCTTCTTCTTCTTCTTCTTTTCCTTCAATTTCATCTGCGGTGTGAAATTTGTGCATTCCTCATCTTTCACATTACCCCCCCTCTCTCTCTCTATCTCTCTCTCTATCTCTCTCTCTCTATCTCTCTCTCTATCTCTCTCTCTATCTCTCTCTCTATCTCTCTCTCTAATCTCTCTATCTCTCTATATCTCTATCTCTCTCTCTCTCTCTCTCTCTCCAGAAATATCAAATCTCCCTTATCTATTTCATTTATCTTCATCTTCGTCTACTTTGTCTTCGTCCACCATCTAGTCGTTGTGAGTCTATCTTACGAGAGGTTTCGATACTATGTTCTCCATATTTTTCTATCCGATGCCTCTTCCTTCATCTGCAAATAGCATTTTCCATTACTTAAACCACAAAAACATTTCAAACGCCAAGTATTTTATTCTCCTCTATCGTTCCCTTTTCCTGTCTATTTCTTCTTTTGTTAGCAATTTTAGCGCAAAGTTGAGCAACCTCAATCTCCTTTCTGGAACACTCAAGATTTTACCTCCTCTCCTGAGAAATACATCCACTTCTTATATTGTATGTCCATTGAACTGGGACGACTCTATTACTAAACTTTGTTTGAATCTCCATTTTTTTTATTTGTAATTGTCCACGAATTAGAACCATTAGGTTCGCCTCTCTAGACAGCACATTTGGTAAATCTGAATAGTATTATAAGAAATTATTTTTGCTATGGGCAATCTGTATCTCACTGCTTTCCTACTTCTTATTTCTTCTGTGCAATTTCCATTCTATGTTAAACTTCCAGTATAGTTAAAATACTTCACTCGTTGTATTCTCTCACCCTCCTTTGATCTATATATAAGAAAAAGGAATCAACGCAGACAAATTTTTTAATGTAGTGTGAATATTCACCAACAAATGTGCTGAAGAACAATGGTAGGTAAGGATGTAGTGACGAACAAGGTGGTGAAGCACCAAGGGAGTAAACAGAGGGAAAGGACAATTACATACAAAGCGCCAATGGAAGCGAGTTATTTGACATCTCTGTAAAGAAATTTTATTGACCGATTAAGATAATACAATCATGTTTCTCTTTAAATAACTCGTAAATTTTCGCACATGTGTAGGTTATTTGTTATTATTCCGTAGATTTGTTGAGTAATTGTCATCGAAATTGCAGCTGGCAACATGAAATATCGAACAATGCAATAAACCTCATCGACGAAACTGACATGCGGTATTTCAGTACAATAAAAGATAATTGTTGGTCATGCCAAACTGAAGTTAATCTGCGGCTGCAGTAAATACTCTATAGCACTATCATTAACAATTTGAACATCCATTATTAAGTGTTGCATAAAAATGTATTTTTCTCGTTAATATTAATTAATACCACAAAATACTATCGTTGCGAGTACACTACTTTACTCTGCAATATCTTATGTATTTACCTTGTTCTTCAAAAGCAAACTAAGCAAAACATTGTACATTCTTAAAACTCTTCCTAAATTTCCTCTACATCTAACATCTCCCTAAGACGTGTGCTGTAAATATTCTTTAAATTTCTAGCATCTTTCCACACATTACATTACCAGCGCTTTCAAAACCTACTCGTAATCAACAGAAAAATTATTTCTCGTAGTTCCGGAAGGGATTTATTGGCGTTTGCTCAGTTTCTCATATTGAACTCCATCTTGGTCTGATGAGCACTATTTGCTCTGGTTGGCTTCACACTATTATAGTACGTTTATAGAGGTTCGATTTGAACAGATTGCTGTCAACGTCACAATTTTTAAACGCATTGTAAATGAAACTCATTTTTAATTTACTCCGTGTAAATTTACAATTCGGGAATGAGAGTCACGGTCAGATCAATCTATAATCCGTTTATTTTTTCTTCTTTCTAGGTTAATCTATGCTTTTGGCAATCCGTTAAAGAGCAAACAATGGAAGGCGCTTTGCCTTATAGAAACCGCTTTCAATAAAGGCTGCACTCTATTCCACATTATTGAAAGTCAACAGAAAATATTTTTTAAGAGAGTCTAGGGAGCGTAAACCACTAATGTTTCGTAAGAGTCAACAACCTGACTTTGTACACTTCATGACCCGAGAGCGTTTCGCAGAACGGTTTGCTTCCAAGATATGTCAATAGTGGTTCGACTTTGAGTGAACTGTTATTGCACAACAGAATGACGCGTCCTGTTGTCTCCCACCTTCTGGTTCCTTTCGACCAAAGCAAAAGAATAGCAGCAAACATTGCTAATACAATACGGAAAGAAACTTAGATTGACGTTCATTTTTTTCATTAATCGTTCAAGATACAGAACATTAAATAACATACCGCCGTTTCTGTAACGCAAATTTCGAGTGCGGCATTATGCCTTCAGAGTCCCTTCTTCGACCTTAATGTTCATATGCGCTATTCAGTTTCACGCTCACCAAAAACCATCCGTCAGTGAATGAGAGAGCTAATGCAAGGCCGCTCGTGTGTTGCAGCACTGTACGCCATCCTGTTCCCCAACATGGAGGAGGCCGCGTACAGCAACTTCCGCCTGTGGCAGTCGATCGGCTTCGTGATCGCCTTCTCGTACAGCCACTACCTGTGCACCGTCTACAAGCTGTACATCGTGCTGGCGCTGCTGGTTGTTGGAGTGGCGGGCTACCTGGGCATCGAGTACACGCGCCCGCACAAGGCGCGACTCGCCGACGGATGAGGCGCCGGCCCAGCCCCGTGGCTCTGCACGCGTCCCCCGTTGCTGCCCACGGCCGAGGCCGCCTCGGGGCTCAAGTAGCCCCCGGGGATGCCGTCCTAGCCTCGCCTCGCCTCGCCTCTCTTGCTTCCACGTCTCCGTCACCACCGCGTCTCCGTCACCACCGCGTCTCCGTCACCACCGCGTCTCCGTCACCACCCCGGCCCCGTCACCACCCCGGCCCCGTCACCACCCCGGCCCCGTCACCACCCCGGCCCAGTCATCACCTCGTCTCCGTAACTATCCTGAGCCCGCTCCGTCATCGCCGTTCCATCATCCCAGTCTGAGCTTTGCCATTCTTTTCACCTGCGCATATGTCCGTGCCACACTCTCATGTTCTCAGTTGATTTGAAGTGAAACTTCTTATGCAGCTCCGTCCTCTTGGGTAGTGAAATGCTAGCTCAAAACGAATATGGACGTAGTTTCCCCTCCATGGCAGTGCACATGAAATTGGCAGCGCTACGTGCCAATTAATGCCGATTGTAGGGCGCCATCTTACTAGCGCGCTGTTCTGAAGCTTTGGTTACATTTGTAAGGCAGTTACGTTCTATTCCTCATGTTGTTGTTTTTAGGTACGAGAAAGAGTAGGAAAATGACCAGCCAGTGTCTGATTGTTTGGTATAATTTTAAATATTCTAAGCTTTATTTGGTCGCTGAAACCCCAAATATTTGTGCGTACGTTAACATTGTTCTTATAAAACTTAAATTACGTTTTATTTAACATCTACTATTTTACAGTTTATGGTATTATGGAGCCCTTAACGCTATAATAATAATTATTATAAACTAGCGCGATTGTTCTGGTTTGGTGTTCAATGAATACATAATATTTAGCAACATTTAAATAATTTAACAATAAATTTAATTTTTATCATATTTTTTTCTTCCAAACTTTTGAATCGAAAGGAACCCATCCCGGCTACATTGTTGAAAATTTTGAAATTGTTCGAAAAAAATTGACCATATTCTAAAACTAATAGTTGCTTTTCTGTTCCCTACTCGAATCTGCAGAAATTGTAAACTGAAAGTCATAAAGTTCAGATGTTTTCAATATTCTCTCATATGAAAGAGCTTTATATGGCATATAAAATGTCACAAAACAATAGGTTAGAAGGTCTTTCGCGCTCCAGATAAATTATTGTTTACATCAATTAAGCGTCACATGCCAACCGCCGGATTTTAAGGACTCAAGCCATTGCCGCCACACGTAGCTAAGGCTTCTGTTCAAACCTTTTTGAAGTGTCTCGATTCGTTTGCCTGCAGTATACGCTCGAAGTCAGAGAGTGGAGGGGAGGGAACGAAACTATGGCGACTCGTCTATTTTCTAATTATTAAACACTAAACTGTGGCTCGGAGCGAAATGTATTTCTTTATCTTTTTCCCAAAAAAGCATTATGCTGCCCTAGTACAGCGGTGTTGCCGATTATTCTCAATTAACAATTTTTTCTTTCGAGAGCCAATTGGTCTAAACTCTTGTTGGGATATTTTAATTCGTTACAAGTTATTAGATTTAAACTAATTCTCTTGCAAATTTATCTTTATGCAATATTATCCAGGCACATAAATATTAAATTTACCAGAATTGCCATTTTTGTGCAGTATACACCACATTTATAACTGATATCTACTTCTTAATAAAATACAACTGAACATTGTTACAAAGAAGGCAATATATTACAAATATGTGATTAAAATATACCGATTTCTAATGCAAAAATAATGCGTAAAATAATCGTTCTTTGAGAAAAAATAATAAAAATGTAGGAGAATTTTTTGGATAAATTAAATCATTAGAAACTAATAAAATATCACCCTTGTCAGTCAGAAAAGTCTCCAAATCACAATTTCAAGGAACACAAAATCAGTCAGGAACACTTCTAACAATGCAATTTCTTGCTGGTAAATATTACACTTTTCTCCGAGTTCTCAACTGCCTTCCCCCTTGCTTTGGAATAAGACTAACATTCTCCGCAGCAGTTTTCATGTTTTCAGAGAGAGAATCCTTAGAAGATGATGAAAATGTATATTCTTCTATTAATCCTATCTTTTTATTTTTCTGTATGTTTTTCTTCACTTCAGTTTTTGTAGGTTTTCGTTGCCTCCTATTTTGGGGTTTTAAGGGAGTGTGTTCAGAATTATCTTCTTTTTCGACCTTTTCCTCCAATACCTTTGCTTCAGCATTTCTTCAGCAACCTTTGCTTCAGCAATATTATCTTTCAATTGATTAGTGCTACTCGTGAGCTGATATATTTTCTGCTTGGCGAGAAAACTGATTATCAACAAAGTTATCCTGTAAACTGTATGCCAAAATAGTTTATGATACTGCAATATTGCTACTGACTTTTTATATTGCGGGCAGAAGATTTCATGCAGTTTTTATTTTTTTTAATCCTTGATTCGAACCAAGCGTCAGAAACTTTTTAAAAATCATTATTAGTAACTAATAATTTTCATTGATTTCATCCCCCATGCTTTTCACGCATTACACCAAGACTTTGAAGTTTCACTTCAGTCGTTTGACCCAAGACACACAAGTTTCTCTTTCTTTTTCCTTGCCGTATGACTCCACTTCTGTCTCCTCCCTGCGATTTCTTCGCCGCCAGCGTACGTCGCGTTGCCGTAGATATTGACTACATTGAGAGATCTGCTCATGGCAGAACATTTTTTTCACAGCGCGCTTAGCCAGAAGAAAAGTCAAGGCCTTTGTCCCTTGCAATCGAATGGAATTGATAATCATCATTATGGTTCTACAAGAATTGTATGAAATAATGTGATTTTTACAGTAGTATGTTGCGATTAAATATTTATCAAATATCCTTCATTTTTGTATAAAGTCACAGATGACGTCTGTAGAAAATGAGATTTTCTTGCCGCATGAGCAGTATTTTGTTATCAATCATGCTTATATTAATGTAGAAGAGATCATTAATGCTGCCCGTATTTGTGATACAGAAATGGTATCATTTATGATCCTTCAAACAATATGCACAATATCCGAGATGTATTTTTTCCAGTTGTTTCTTACAGTTTATGTAGAACGAGTAGAACGAGAATTCTATTTCACAACGAACAGACTCTTGCGGCATTTCACCACGTAAATAAGTACCTTGGTTTAATAAATCATGAACAATTGTGAAATATCAATGAAAGCGAATAACAACAATAGAAGAAAATCGAAGTCTTCATCGAACCGTTGAAAAATAATGAAAGACAAAAAATGATGGAAGATTAAAGTTGAATATGTAAAATATTACAAAACGTGTGATATAGATTATACTCTTACTTACGCTACAAATTGTCCACTTATGCTATGAAAGAACATTCGGCAAACAATGAACTACGGTTTACAAGCATGAATCGAGAAATGGTATACCTGTTATAAAGAAATACCTGTATATTCATGAGGTAACATTCTATAGAAACCATTTTATCACTCTCTTAGGAAAAGGTTTTAAGGGGCCAACATATTAATATTTTTGCTATGTGTTACGCAGTTGAAGTAATGTTATTTATATGAAAAAAGTATGTTAATTATTATTGAATAAGAGAGATGTGTGTAAATAGTGTGATCAATAAAAATATATAAATAATGTTTTTATTTTATCAGAATCTGCGATCACAGGTAATTTATTTACGCGTTCATGTTCACATTATTCTTAACCTTTTTTATATTCACGATTTGAACTAATTTTCATTTCCCTATCACAACCTAACCCGGCAGTACACTCAACATAACGACTTCACGCACGTGATGACTGTTTTTTAATAAATGCGTCTTTATTTTAAAAAAGTTATTGTTTTTTGCTAACATTTACAAATATTCATGTGTTTTATAACATTTTCTAGCTTTACACATTGAACAGAATGATGTATTTTTCTGTTGCTTTTTTTTTCGTGAGATGTAGGTAATAAATTCGTTACAATTAAGAAATAATTTTAAAATACTAAAAATTGAATAACATTATGTAAATAGCGGCACTATACATGACTGATTCCAGGCGCGTCAACTGCGAACATTATACCGTAAGTGTAGTGCATGTATTATCGCAGGAGGTGGCGCTGATCTTCCCTTGATTGCGAGATACGTCGCCAACCTACCCGCTGGCTGGCTGGTGTTTTCCCCAAGGAGTATCTCCCAGCAGCGGAAACAGCCCAATACCTTCTATTACTACAGTTCTAACAACTTTATCTACGACGCTAGCATATCTAGGCCTTTAGTTCCGCGCCTTGAAGGTTAGGACCGATTCGAATACGCGTAATTTTCAGATCAAACTCATTTTCCAAGTAAATATATCATATTTTTAAATCGATAGACTCTAGTTAAGTATAAAATGCCATGATTTATGTAAACGGGCGATTGATTTAAGGCCATATCTTATGAAATAATTTTAACATAACATTAATGTATTGCCTACTATTTAATATATTATATTCTCTGTGCTTTCAATCAAAATAAATTATTCTAAGTATCTTCTAAAATGCGAGTTAAAATTAGCTTAAACTAAATATCCATAATATGAAGTAACTTCCTCAAATAATCCTAAACATTGTAATTTATGTTTCACTGAAACTAACTTTTATCTGAAATCGCGATCACTTTTTAAAAGAATATTAAATTAACTTATTTACGTGATATTCACGTATAAATAATTTTACGTGAAGCTCTATCCTAATCTCTTTCCAATGACGTAATATAAAATTTCAAATGTATGGAAAGAAAGAGATACGAAAACACATTAAGGAATAAAATTGAACACAAAAATAAGGTACCGAAGACGTAGTTTCTCCAGTTTCTTATATATTTAAAATGAACTGATGCAAATCAATAATTTATAGAAGAAAATTTATTTTTCTCCTACCATTTACCAAAATTTGGCACTTTACTCTTCTCCAATACAATTAATTGTCATAATGAAACACACTGACTTGTTCGATGATCAATTGTCTCGAACTAAAGCAAGATGGCTGTCGTACATGGACATAGTCGGCCAACATACTCCTACGTCACAAGCAGCTAATGACGTAGTTGTAAGGCCTGAAGTAACAGAAGGTATTGACACAGCCCCAGACGGGACAAGGGCCCAACTGGTCTCCCTGCGTGTGTTGTTGTCTACTGCATGTAAATATAAGTAGGACAAGGAAGGTAAGGAGCGAGGGAAGGACAAGGAAGAGGAAGGGAAGATCGCGCGCATTCCGTGACCCGTTCGTTAAGGCACTGCTCCGGCAGTCGCCTGGTGTCGATTGGAGAAACCACGAAAAACTTACTACCAGAGCAGCCGGCCGCTAGAATTCCCCTCCAGCCAGCGACTGAATTTGACGTATCTATCTCGCTAGTATCGAAACTCCTGCCGCCGTCGGGAGTGGGGCTCAAGGACCTCCGGGTCAGAGGCACCGCAGTGACATCAATTGACGGCCTGAGCCTCCTAAGCCGCGCCTCGGCGTGGAGGTGCATCCCGAATCGATAGGGAGGGCGGACGCCGCCGCCGCCGCCGCTGCTCTAGTGAATGACGAGAGCGCGCGCGCCCGTGCGTCACCGCGCGTGCTACGCCGCACGTCACGGACGCGCGGACGCGGGGGCGGCGGATTCATTTCGGCAGCGTATTCGCGTGCGTACGTCATCACTGGGTCCTAATAGAAACGTCGCGAGCCGCGACGGGACGCAAAAAAAAAAGAAAAAAAAAGCGTTCGCGTAATTGCGGTGCATGCGTCACGGGGAATAAGCCGGCCGCCTGGCGGACGCTCGCGGAACTACCGAGCAGTCTCCAGTCCAGCTGCGCACAGCGGAAGAGTTGAACGGTCTCTAGGAGCACGTTTCCTGCTGCGCGATAAGAACACAGCTCACAGCTTTCGCTACTGATATTAGTAATTTAGAAACCGGAATAAAGTGACTATTGGGGTACAAATGACATGTTTACGAGCAAGGCGACACCGTGAGGTGAGTTCGACGCTTCGAAATCAATATCCTAAATAAATACTTTTTTGCAGCCAAGAAGTTATTCTATGCTGCTTAAACTGAACATTCCATTCACTTCACGAGGAAGTAGTTCAATATACTTTTACTTTGTTTTCATCAATCACGTTCATTTCAATTATGTTGTTGGGAGTTTGAGAGTTTTTCTGAGTGTATGTCGAAGTCCCTTTTTTTACGAGTTACGCGCATTTTTTTGTGGTACGAATTCACGAAAACTCATAGATACTCACTCAAAAACTCATAGAAAAGTATACACTTCTGTGACAATTCTTAATATCGAAGGTGATAGCCCTGTTGATTCATGTAGTCCTAGTGTTTCCTTTACTTTGAAGTACACAGTTGTTTTATACGGCCACGACTAATTTGCGGTACGCATAGGTACGTGAATTGGAGGATTGGGGCAGATGTCATAGCAGCTATTTTTTAATAAATGTTTTCGGATCATACAATTTTATTTTTCGCGTGATAGAAATACTATACTACTGTCCCAGCACCAGTTCACAGCAAACAGTTGGCACTGTGTCTCTATTAGCCCAGAAAGCAATGTGGAATCAGTTGTCTGACTGCCGCTGTGCGCGATGAATGTAACATGTTTCGAATAGCACCCATAAACCAAAATAGCTATCCCCAACGCTAGAAATGCTCGAGAATGTCGCAGGAAATTGGTGGAAGCTCCTAGGAATAATGCCCTCCCGTGCCAAACAGTCGTGAGACGGGCAGGAGTATCTGCGAGGACGCGTAGCAACTAGTGATCGGCAACGCACGTGACGTCCTGTGAGTGTGCCAACCGATCTGGCACGTGCGGTAATTGAGCGTCTGCCAAATCGAGGCTTTAAAACAGGTATATAATTCGTTTGGAATGTTGTGAACTCGTATATGATAAAGTGCTTGGGAACATGAAACCAGTACTGTCATTTCAAATACCTTAATAAATATTAGAAACAAAATTTTAGTGTGTCGTTACATGACCATGCACTTAATTTATTCATCGTCCTTTAATGTGGATGTTACACAGTTTCCACCCGTGTTCCAATTCTCACAAAAGTAGTTGTCACGATTTGTACACCTACACTCGAATTTTTTCGTTTTCGTACTGCAAGTAGCATTTTCCAATCAATGATGGTAAGTAATAGTTTCTACGCACCGAGTACTTAAAATGCGTTTAGATACAAAAATGGCATCAATTAACATTAATTCATTTTTTTTGCTCCCTAGAAACTGAAATGTAAGTTAACATCTTCGCCATAATCTCCCGTCGATGAGCAGAATTTGAAGGTAAATATAAATTGGTTAAATGGTACATTTTTCAGTGCTTGATATTATATTTTCTGAAAATGTTTGCGCACAAACTAAATCAATGAATCGACTCCCATGGTGTTGAAAAACACTAAGTTCTGGTTGACAACACTCGCGGAACATTTTTACTTATATGGAGAATTATGTTTCTCCATTTGAGCTAGACAGTATTTATGTAGGTGCTCTTCCTTAAAAATTATATAAAAAACTGACGAATCAAAAAAGTGTATACAGATGAGCCTCAGAGGCATTGATTGATTGATTGATTCCGAGTACGTCTCCGATTGAATGATTTTCGATTGAACTGATTAATTGTTTCCGAAAACGTAAGAACTTTATTCTCGTTAGTGCAGTGAATGGTTGATTCCAGAAAGCTGCGATGTTGTTTCCCCCACTGGATGGTGAGATCCGGCTCCGACGTACGCGCCAACTTGAGGGATTTCCTCCTCCACGTATGTACCCCAGCGCGGAACCGCCCCTTCCGGGACAAGCTCTAAGCTCCCGATGTTCTCCCTACATGTGTAGTAGTGTAGTACATGTTACGTGGAAGTCTGTGATAAAAGAGAAAAGACAGAACAAGGAAGAGGAAGAAAGAACTACGCGAGTTCCTTAGTCTCTTTGCTACAGCACTGTTCTGACATTCGCCTCGTATTGATCGTAAAACTACAGAAAACTATCGATCAGAGTAGCCGGCCGCTACAAATATCTTTCATACAGCGCTGAATTCGGCATAGCGTTCTTCTGGCGTCGAAAATTCGTTGCTAGCTGGTGTCGAAAATCCGGCACAGCTGGGTTTCAAATCCTAAGACTTCCCGATTAAAGTCGCTGCAGAGACACTGGCAATCTGGCTCTGAACGTACATAGCTGGGAATGGACTTAAATTTGACTTGGCACTCTGAATGTTTCTTCTTCATTATGACACATTCTGTAATAAATCTACCCGTGCACTATTAATCTCTTACAGTCCTGGTATCAAAACGTTATTTATTAAAATAATTTTATTTTCAGGAGAATTAAAACGTCTGTTTGAAAGAAAGAAGTAATTTTTCTACTTTTACTATTACGTAAATTTGTCTACCAAAAATTTCACTTACTTAAGAGAAAATTGTTTTGGTAAGTGCCATCGATATTGTTTAACAAAAACCCTTTCAAAAACGTACACCAAATTTACTCGTTACCAAATTACTTTCAAACCGTTAATGTTGTTATTTTTAATGTTTCGCTTTAACACTAGCCGAAGTAATTTGAAAGGTTTCATTAAAAGAATCACAAGATTGAATTTGAATGTTCCAATTGCGATAACAAGCAATTGCAAATATACTAAATA